GTAGTAGTAGTAAAAAGGGTAACAGTAGTAGTAGTAGTAGTAAAACTAAACGTAAAAATAAAAGCAAAAGTAAAAGTATTCGTGGTAACAATAGTAATCGTGGTAGTAACTGTAGTTCCAGCAGGTGTAGAAGTAGTAGTAGTAGTCGTAGTAGAAATACTAATAGTAGTAGTAGTAGTAGTAGTAGTAGTACTAGGGGTCGTAGCAGTAGTAATAGCAGTAATAATTCTAGCAATAGCAGGTGTAGCCTTAGTGGTAGTAGCCGTAGTAGTAAGTGCTAAGGAATAGAAAAGTCGCACTTGATCCTCGTCTCTGGACAAACACCACCTTCGTAGACTCTAGATCAAAGCTACATTATGGAATCCATATGGTAGAACTAATGAAAACGTCCGTTTCACACCCCGCCCTCGTGTCGGTTACACCGCACCCCACCTTCGCGCACTATTCACTATTCGGCAATAGTGGTAAGCCTTTTTATTCAGAAATGCAAAAAATAGTTTTACACCTCACTTTCGTGTCGCGGCATTTATGGCATGGCTCCAATACAATTAAAAGAGGTTCTTGTGATAACCTTCCCCGTTGGCCACCAAAACAGCCAAAACTCGGGCCGATGCCCTTACGGCACCCCAGGATTCCTCAGGATTCTGAAGGATCCTGGGGCATTCCGATGGGCCGTGGCGGATTCCGACGGATGTTGCAAGATCCCCAAGGGCGCTGCAGGTCTTAAAGGACTCCGAGGGATCCTTAAGATGCCTTCTCCTCTCGGGAATCTGGGAATCCCACCAGCCCTCTGGGCGTCGGTGGTTTAGGGCGTTTCCTCTTCCACCCCTCCCTCTTCCCCTTCGGGGAGGGGTTTACCCCTCCCCCTACCCCATCCCCACTGACCTGGACAGGAGGGGCGGGGAGCGGTCAGAGCGTCCAAAACGGCCTCGGCGAGGAAGCCAAAATCATTGATTTTACTATGGCTTCGGCCCCATTTTGGCCTTCTGAGGGGGCAGCGCTAATTAGAGCTCCCCTCTTCTTTGATCGATTTCCTCCACGATGGCCGCAAGAGGCCCCCAGGATGCCCCAAGAGGCCGCAGGATGGCCCCAAGATGGCCCCAAGAGGCCCCCCAAGAGGCCCCCAGGAGGCCCCCAAAAGACCCCCAAGAGGACCCCAAGAGACCCCCCAGAGGCACCCAAGAAGCGCCCAGGAGGCCCCAAGAAGCGCCCAGGAGGCCCCCAAAGGCCCCAAGATGGCCCCAAGAGGCCCCAAGAGGCCCCCAGGAGGCCCCAAAGAGGATCCCGAACGGCCCACAGAGGCCCCCCCGAGGCACCCAAGACGCCGAAAAGCCCCTCAGGACGACCCTCTACTCGCCTGGGCGTCGTTTCTGGACGGGCTGGTGGGGATACGCGAAGCGTCTAGAATTTGTAGGATCCACCGGAATTCCGAGGATTCCCTGAAGAGGCCCTTTTTGGTGCACGCAAGCGTTGTGGTGCACGCTGGTGTGACGGCGCACGCTAAGCACTGTGGTGCACACAGGCTTTGTGGTGCACGGTGGCATTGTGATTCACATTCGTTATGCTGAACGAAATCGTTATGGCGAACACAAGCATTCTTGGGCCACAAACATCCGAGCGTTCCTTGGGCCACAAACATCAATACTCACAATCGGATCACACAATGGCCCTCTCAGGAATCTGGCAATCGGTAGGATCCCTGAGAACTCCTAGGACTCCTTAGGAAGCCCTCCCAGGAATCTGGGAAGTGGTAGGATCCTTCGGAATCCCCATGGTTCCCTAGGAGGCACTCCCAGGAATCTGGCAATTTGTAGAACCCTTCGGAAGCCGTAAGATCCCCTGGGAGGCCGTCCTGTTTCACACCCTACCTTCGTGCACTATTATTTCGCATTGCGTGTATAAAAGTTGTATTACGAATGATCGCAACAATCGCCATGTCACAACTCACCTTCGCGTCGCTTCGTACTGTATCCGTATTGGGTCCGTATGATAGTCGCATTGTATTCGTATTGCATTCGTATTGGATTCGTATTGTCTTCGTAATGCATTCGAATTGTACAAGATACACGATCCCGAACCCCAACCCTTACCCTTACCCTATCATTCTGAGTAGACACGAAGGTAAGGTGTGACCCTAGTAGTAGTAGTAGTAGTAGTAGTAGTAGTAGTAGCAGTAGTAGTAGTAGTGAAAGTAGTAATAGTAGTAGTAGTAGTAGTAGTAGTAGTAGTAGTAGTAGTAGTAGTAGTAGTAGTAGTAGTAGTAGTAGTAGTAGTAGTAGGAGTAGTAGTAGTAGTAGTAGTAGTAGTAAAAGTAGTGATGGCAGTAGTAGTAATAGTTGTTGTTGCAGTAGACGTAGTAACTGTAGTAGTGGCAGTAGTAATAGTAATCCGAATAGTAGTAGTCGTAGTTGTGCTCGTAGTAGTAGCAGTAATCGTAGTTGTATAGTAGTCGTCGTATAAGCAACAGTAGTAGTAGTACTACTACCACTACTAGTAGCAGCAGTAGCAGTAGTAATAATGGTAGCAGTAATCGTAGTAGTAGTAGTAGCAGCAGTAACAGTAGCAGTTGTAGTAGTAGTAGTAGTAGTAGTAGTAGTAGTAATAGTAGTAGTAGCCGTTGTAGTAGTAGTAGTAGTAGTAGTAGTAGTAGTAGTAGTAGTAGTAGTAGTAGTAGTAGTAGTAGTAGTGGTAGTAGTAGTAGTAGTCGTAGTAGTAGTAGTAGTAATAGTACTAGCAGTGGCAATATATAGTAGTAGTTGTAGTTGCTTCCACCGTAGTAATAGTAGTGAGAATATAAGAAAAAAGAAGAATCATACAATCGTAATAACAAGAAGAAAAAGATAGCATCCTCGATTCGTAGTTTTCCCCCGCGATAAAACAAGTTCGGCCGTGCCGCCCCTCTCCCCCGACCAACTCTGTCTTGGCCGGAGAAAATCAACACTAGAGGGTTAAAGGGGGGGATGCTTTCTTATCCGGGGCACGGAGTTATGGAACCAGGGCCCACCAATGCGGCCCCAATACGGCCCAGAGGGGCCCCAAGACGGGCCAGGAGAGCCCCCAGACAGGCAGAAATGGCCCCAAACCACACCACGTCAGCACAGGGAGTTCACCAAGACGGCCTCCGAGGGCGCCAGACGGCCTGAAAGCGCCCTGGAACGGCCCAGGGCGCCACAGGACTCCGCAGGAGGCCCCCAGGAAGGCCCAGAAGGCCCGACAGGAGTCCAAACGAGCCCCAGGACAGCCTCACATGCCCCGAGCGGTTTCTCACACGACTGGGGCAGCATGCAGTCCCCTGGCATGGCTGGACTTTCAGCCGACAGCTCACCGCACGGTTGGTCGGTGGCGAGGGCGAGCGCACATCGTGCTCGGGTGGCCGGCGGGGCGCGCCAGGCTGGCACACAGCAAGCCAGGGGAAGAAGATGGCGGCCGCGGGGGAGGACAGCGAAGGGAGGCTTCGGGCGCTGAGGATCTTCGCCAGGAGGAGTGCGCAGGCGGCTTCAGGCAACAGAGGCTGGCGTAACCACCGGTGTGCGGTGAGTCCAGGCTGCCAAAAGGGGAGGGCAGCGCCGTAATCCACTGGAGAGGCATGGGATGCACAGAGACATGCTAGTACAATCTGTTATCCTTGGAGGCGCGCGTCCGACCCGAACATCTAGTAGATTCATCTTGTAGTATACATTTCCCGAGCGGTGTGGCCAGAAAGCGCCCGCCACGGTGCATATACTGTAAGATTTCTCGGTGCGCGCATTGCCCCTGGGGGAGCGACGCACACATAGTATTAGTATGTTGGGGTGACGCCGAAGGCAAGCCGTCATCCACTGGGCGGCAGGCAGAGTGCCGTTGCCGAGTCAGGACCGTCGGCGGTCGTCGTCGTGGGGTCTGGCGTTCTGGGGGCGGCCAGGCTTTGCCAGCGCCTCCTGTGCACTGGCATCAGGGCAGCACAAGACCAGGGTCCACGGCCTTGCCGAAGTGCACCCGCACCTCTCACCACACAGGCGTCTGCAAGAGGCAGGGGGCGGCGGTGACTCGCCAGAGGCGTCACCGACAAGAAGAAGAACAGTCATCACATATAACAGTTCCAATAATAAGGCCATGGCTTTGAACTGCTTGAATTTCGATGCGCATGTCGATGTGCAGGTTCGTTGCAGCTGGATTTGCATGCTGGTTTGCACTTCGACTTATAATTTGATGTGCGTTTCGATGTAGTTCGAGTGGCATTTCGATTGATCTTCGAATGCGCGCTTCAATGTGCAATCCGATTGCAATCGGGTATGCATGTCGATGAGAATGTTAAATTGCATGTTGACTGCACGCCGATGTGCATTTGAATGTGCGTTTCGATCCGAGCTCGCTGTACATCCCGATGCATGTTGGACATGCATGTCGATGCGCATTTCGGCTTGCATGTCGATGCGCGTTTCGACTTGCACGTCGATTGGCAGTTCTGTCGGCATGTCGATGGCGATGTCAGTGCTCGACTGCAATGTGGCGAGCAACATGCTTTTCGTCTTGAATGTAGAAGTGCGCTTCGATGTGCATGCCAGGTCGCATGTCGGTTGGCACTGCGATGCTCGCTTCGAGTATCGTGCCGCTCTTCCGATTGCAATTGGATCTGCATGTCGATCTGATTTTCGGTGTGCATTCTTCACTGGTCAACCGCGGGGTAACTGTGAGACAACCCGCGGGACAATCACAGGGAAAAACAACCATGATGCATGGCACAACCATGGGACAGCCCACGGGAGCATCCCACGCCCCGCCGCGAGAAGCAGGCGCAGACTGCGCACCAGACTTGGCCGACTTCGGGCTTCTTGGTTCTCAGCCCCCTGCGCCTCCGATACAATTGCATGTGACTAGCAATAGCAGGGACGACTGGCACATTGGCCCTCCCTCCTGCTCACCCCTCACCTCCCCATCCCCTGCCCTCTCGCCTCCCCTACCCATCCCATCCCTCCCTCTTCCTCCCTTACTAGAGGATGGTCTTCTTGCTCCCGGCTTGCCGCGCTTCTTCACGACAATGTTGACGTAAAAGGCAGGGTTCAAGTACCCGCCCTCCGCCGTTAGCGACGCGCTGTTCGGTATCAAAACGTTGCCCGAACTCACATCCGGCACGTGGGAGAGATGGACCTCCAAGATCGACATCTTGTGCATTGGCGCATTAGGCACCATGAGAACCTTGGGATAAGAGTAGGAGGAGGAGGACGACGATGACGAAGAAAATGATGAGGAGTCTGAGGACATGTTCGACCCACGTAGCCGGAAAGGGATTGAGAACTGCGAGGCATGGAACCGTTTCTAAGGACCTCAACTGGACGAGCGCGTTCCACTACTCGCAAAGTAGCTGCTCGCAAATGGCCTGGTTCCGCCGCGAGGGATCTACGATGAATTACATCGCAGCAGACACGTGTTTTTCGGGCGTTTCCGAGTAGGCACTTTGCGAGCAGTGGAATGCGCTCGGTGATCAATTGCATATGCAACTGGGCGATGCCAGGGGGACATGCCAGGGGGACACGCCGCAGAACTTCCCAAGAGGCGCGCCAGGGGACGTGCCAAGGGACGTGCCATGGTGACGCACCGCGGGACGTGCCAAGGGGACGCGCTGCGGAACGTGCCAATGGACGTACCACGGGATGTGCCAGGGAACGCGCCGCGCGACGTGCCAGGAGGACTCGCCACGGGACGCGCAACGGAACGTGCCAGGGAACGTGCCAGGCGACGCGCCAGGGGACGTGCCAGAGAACGCGTCAGGGAACGTCCCACGGGATGTCCCAGACCCAGGGCAAGGATCGCTTGTAAATTACACTGCGTCCGCGCTCCCTGGGCCACGATCCATCGTACGCTACGCTGCGTCCGCGCTCTGCCTGTCCCTCGTAAATTACGCTGCGTCCGCTCTCCCTGGGCCACGATCCCTCGTAAACTACGCTGCGTCCGCGCTCCCAGGGCCGCGCTCCCAGGGCCGCGCTCCCTCGCGAATTACGCAACGTCCGCGCTCCGAGGGCACGACCCCTTGTAAATTACAATCGGTTCGCGCCTCCAGGGGCAAGATCCCTCGTCCATTACGCTGCATCCGCGCTCCCAGGGCCAGGAGCGCTGCAAAACAAGCTTTTCGCTTAAGACATCTTCAGCAATTCGGCACGCGGGGTGCGCGATCCTCGAAGAACGGGCACACAAAAAGCAAACCTTCTTTCAGAAAAAAAAAAAAAAAAAAAAAGCGGGACCCGAGGCATCCTCAAAATTCCTTCGCGCGGGACGCGCCACCCCCGAGTGGGCACGCAAAGAAAGCAACCGTTCAATGTGTATAACAAGTTAGGGTCTCCATGCCTAGTGTTTGATTGCGGATTCTGCGCGAAACGCGCCGCACCCCGTTGTTTGCCAGGGAACGGGTGTCTGCGGACCCCGTTATTGATCGAGGACCCGAAGTAAGGTGCACTGTTTCCTCGAGCGGGCACGCGCGAAACTGATGGTTCATATATATATATATATATATATATGTATATATACATATACGTTTACATACACACCTACGTATGTGTGCATATATATATATATATGAGTACATCTATCTGATGAAAAAAAGGTATTACAAACAAAATGATACGAATGCGAATAACCATACGAATGATAATAATAATAATAACAAAAATAATAATACCATCAGCAGTCTTAGTAGTAACCACACTAATTAAAATGAAACGGATTAAGGCATAACAAGAATGAGCACGATTAAGAATAATAATAATCACACTAGTACGAATCACGATAGTGATAATGATACGAATACTAATACTAATAATCTTCCGACGGTGGGACCCCACATGATTACATATGTAAATTGTCCCTCGCTGCGTTCCTCTTCGACGGGCGCAGGCCCTCCTCCCGCTTCTGCGTCCTCCTCCTCATCCCCATCATCATCATCATCATCAGCATCATCAGCATCATCGTCATTATCGCCCTACCCAGTCCATTTCGTATCCTCCTTCTCCTCCTCCTCCTCCTCCTCCTCCTCCTCCTCCTCCTCTTCCCTCTCCTCCTCATGTTCCCCCTCCTCCTCCTCCATTTGGTATTTTTCCTCCGCCGCCACCTTTTCCTCCTTCTCCCCCTCCTAATCTCATCCCGCCTGCTCTCCACATGCACCCCTCTTTCCTCCTGGCAGGGGCGCGCATGTAGAGTTTCCACCTCCTCTTCCCCCTCCTCCTCCCCCTCCTCCTCCCCCTCCTCCACCACGCCCTCACACTTCTCCTCCGCCCCTCACTCGAACCTTATGCCCACTGGCGTCTCTGCGCAGCTCCAGACCAGCGCCAAAGAGAACCCCAGAACGAACCCCTCGCCATACAAGCCTGCGCCACCACGCGCGATTCACTTACAGACGAGGCTGCCGCGCAAGAGTTACTCCATGTTCAGGCCACAGGAGCCCTAACGTGACGACAGCTACAAGATTCCGATGACCCGCCTCGGATTCGAACATGAAGTACGGGCCCCATAGGGAATAGGCTCCCGCTTGAGACTTCCTTGCGATTCACTCACAAAGGAGGCTACCGCCTGAGACGTCCTCCAAATTCAGGCCTGAGGAGCCCAAAAGTGACGACAATTACAAAATTGGATGACCCGCTCGGATTCGAACATGAAGCGCGGGCCCCTGAGGGAGGGTGCACCCCACCTGAGATCCCCTCGCGATTCACTCACGGACGAGGATCCCGTCTGAGACTTCCTGAAAGGTCAGGCCCGAGGAGCCCAAAAAAGACGACATTTACAGGATCTGGATGACTCGCCCGGGTTCGAACATGAAGCGCGGGCCCCATAGGGAGTGGATTCCCGCCTGAGGCTTCCTCGCGATCCGCGCACAGACGAGGTTCCCGTCTGAGACTTCCTCAAGCTTCACGCCTGAGGAGACTAGAAGTGAGGGCACCTACACGATTTCGATGACCCGCCCGGGTTCGAACATGAAGCGCGGGCCAATCAGGAGGGGGCTCCCGCCTGAGACTTCCTCGCGATCCACTCACAGATGAGGCTCCCGTCTGAGATTTCCTCAAGTTTCAGGCCACAAAGCCCAGCAATGAACACAGGTACAAGATTTGAATGACCCGCTCAAATTCGAACATGAAGCGCGGGCCCCATGGGGAGGGGACTCCCGCCTGAGATTTCCTCGCGATTCACTCACAGACGAAGCTTCCGTCTGAGACTTGCTCAAACTTCAGGCCTGAAGAGCCTAAACGCGACGACAGCTACAGGATTCCGATGACCCGCCTCGGATTCGAACATGAAGTGCGGGTCCCATGGGTAATAGGCTCCCGTTTGAGGCTTCCTCGCGATTCATTCGCAGAGGAGGCCCCGCCTGAGTCTTCCTCAAATTTCAAGCCTAACGGGCCCAAAAATGACGACAATTACAAATTTGGATGACCCGCTCGGATTCGAACATGAAGCGCGGGCCCCTGAGGGAGGGGGCACCCCGCCTGAGACTTCCCTCGCGATTCACTCACGGATCCCGTCTGAGACTTCCTGAAAGGTCAGGCCCGAGGAGCCCAAAAAAGACATTGACAAGATTGGACGTGACCCGCCCTGGTTCGAACATGAAGCGCGGGCCCCATAGGGGAGGGGCTACCGCCTGAGACTTCCTCGGGATCCGCTCACAGACGAGGTTCCCGTCTGAAACGTCCACGACGTTCATACCTGAGGACCCTAAATGTGAAGAACGTCTACAAGATTTGGATGACCCGGTCGGATTCGAACATGAAGCACGGGCCCCATAGGAAATAGGGTCCCGCTCGGGCCTTCAACGCGATTCACTCACAGAGGAAGCTACCGCCTGAGACTTCCTCAACCGTTAGGCCTGAGGAGCCCAATTGTAACTACATTTACAAGGTTTGGATGACCCACTCGGATTCGAACATGAAGCTCGGGCCCATAGGTGAACGGCTCCCGCCTGAGACTTCCTCGCGATCCGCTCACGGACGAGGATACCGTCCGAGATTTCTCATATTCAAGCCACAGGAGCCCAAAAATGAGCACGGTTCGATGATTAGAATGACCCGCGCAAATGCGAACATGAACTGCGGGCCCCATAAAGAGGGGCTCCCGCGTGAGACCTCGCGCGAGACCTCTTCGCGATTCACTTTCGGACGACGCTTCTGTCTGAGGCCCCCTCCAGAATCATGCCCGGGGAGCCCAAAAAAAACGACAGTTACAAGACTCGGGCGACCCGCTTCGGATTCGAACATGAAGCGCGGGCCCCATACAGAATAGGTTCCCGTTTGGCCCTTCCGCGCGGTTCACTCACAGAGGAGTCTCCCGCCTGAGACTTCCTCAAGCATCAGGCCTGAGGAGCCCGACAGCGACGACAATTACAAGGTTTGGATGACCCGCTCGGATTCGATCGTGAAGTGCGGGCCCCATGAGGAGTGGGCCACAGCCTGAGACTTCCCAGCAATCCAGTCAAAGACGAAGTTCCCGTCTGAGATTTCCTCAAGCTTCAGGCCTGAGCAGCCCAAAAGTGACGACTGTTACAATGACCCACTCAGATTCGAACATGAAGAGCGGGCCCCACAGGGAGGGGGCTCCCGCCTGAGACTCCCCACGGGCGATGGCATGATGACGAATGAGTGGGCGATGGGCGATGATGCGGAAGCAGGGTGAGCAACGGATGCTTTTTGGATTTGAGCCACAAAAGTACGGACACAACTCTCGAGGCCCTGCCGCCGGGCCGCAGGGAAAATATATCCATGCGCTAAACCTAAGTCAAAGTTCACTCACACAATCACACTGGTCAACATTTTCGAACAAGTTTAGCACATGGAATCATCTACACACATCACACGGGGATAGAACAGCGACGATGGCAAATTCCATCTTCCTCGCGGGGCCCGGCCCTGCTGCCTGACAAAACAAGGACATAGAGGCAAGGAGGAAAGAAAAAGAAAGGGAGAGACAGAGAGAGAGAGAGAGAACAACAACAAAAAAAATCTATATATATATATATATATATATGTATATATATATACATATAGAGAGAGAAAGAGAGAGAGAGAGAGAGAGAGAAAGAGAGAGAGAGAGAGAGAGAGAGAGAGAGAGAGAGAGTCACGGGTCAGACCCGGGCGGAGACACAGCGGCCCCGAATCCCGCGCCCACGAGGTTCCCCCAGGAGATATTCCTGCCGTTGTCTCCCATAGCCCTGGCCGGCGC